TGAACTATAATTGTTTGTAACAGGTAAATGAAATATATTGTAACATGGCACTCAACAAAGAATTATGCATTAAATTTGAATACAAATTACAAAAATGGTCTATATTGCCTTTTAATTATTGATTGAAAGTGACAGCAATGAAATGATGTGCATTGTATTTTTTTCTACAGCCATTTGAGGACATGGATGATGGTAGATGCTTACTTGACGTGATAGAGTAAGTGGTCTCTTCTTTCTAATTTCATGTAATCTTTTTCGGAGTGTTGTAGAATTTAAAGCCCCACTGCACTACTTATAGCTAGTCTGCAGGCACAGACCCTAATTTGACACTTAATCAAAAAATCATTGTGCCTTGAGAGAAGTCTAGCCCAGCTACCTACTGGTTGTGTCAGGAGCAGCTACAGTACATGGCCTATAGTAGTCTTATAGTGCAGACTCACTTTTACGACTGACCAGGGTTTGTGCTTGCAGACTAACTTATAGTAACCCTGTAAGTTGGGGCTCTGATCGGATCGGAAGATCGGAGCGACACCCTCGCACCTATGAACGGTATCGGATCGGAAGATCGACAAAAAAAATCGGCTGATTTTTTTTGATTTTTTTTTTTAATTTTATTTTTTTTAAATCAGGGCGCGACAAACCCGCTTGCCCGACGTCCCGGGGCAACCAAATTGAGCCGTCGGGCAAGTAAATCAAATTATCACTTGCCCGATTCGGGCAAGTGATACTTTTACAGTAATTTCCTAGTGTCCAAGAACTCTACCATTCACCCGTCAACTTCTTACCCGTCGTCAAAATCCAGAAGCAAAAAAGCGATCGTTCCGATTTCGAAAAAACTTCACAGACAGCTAGCCAGCTCAGCTAGCTCAGCGCGCATGCAACAGTGACACTTCAAGCCATGAATGCCGCTCCGCCTCCACGCACGGCCGGCCGTGAGCTAGCTAGAGACAGCTAGCGCGATCGTACCAGCTGCGAGCTTATTCGCGCTCTCTCTCTCTAGCTCTGCAGGCCGCACCGACAGGCCTTTGCTATTCTCTGATTGCCGATTGGTTGAATCACGCCAAATATGACGTCATTATTCTAGGGAAATGAACGCGTGCGAATCGGAATGGAATAAACAACAGGGATTTTCTAGTAAGTACAAAAAGTCAAATGTTTGATATTTATTCATAATGACTGTTAATGATTGTGAACATATTATTTAAAACTCGCTGCTCATATAAATCAGATGAATGTTTTTGTCTCGTTTTCAATTTATTACTGCGGTCTCAAGATCCGACCGAGCGAGTCATTTTGATAATAGTATCGAGACCCCAGAATATAAGCCGTTGTTGTTTTGTTTTCATGGTTTTAGCGACGTTGTTTAGTCTAGTTTTCGCATACTTATCCGAGATTTATCGTAAAATATCTTCAATATTATTATTTAGTAAGAATTTACAAATTTTGGCATGATATTTATAGCAGTGAATGATGAAATAAAAATGTCCGTACTTTATTTAAAATAGTTGATTACCCATTATTTACATGACGTTTCTTGATGGAAGAGTTGACCCAAATTATTAACAGCTGAAAATTAGCCTACGTTTCCAAATGACAGCGGCTTGCACAGACACACACGTGCGTTGATCAGCTGTTTTTTCTCGATTGTGCTAGTAAACATGGAGGCACCGCCAGCCAAGAAAGCGAACTACGAACACAACAGACAACGAGGGTTCGTTCCGAAATGGAAGACGGAATTTCCATGGCTACAATTCAATAGTGATGAAAATACCATGAAATGTGGTATATGTGTGGATCAATAAAATGCGTTTTTTAAACCTTCAACCATCCTTTGTTGACCATTTTCTTTGACATATTAGGTTATTATTCAGTACAGTTACACTGTACATGTATGTGCATTAATTTGCTATCTAAAACACTAACTTATCATTACGAGATAATAAATGCTTTAACCTCGAGTCCTTTTTCGCTTTAAAGTTTTGGGCAAGTGGAAATATTGTTTGGGCAAGTAAATTGAAAACCCACTTGCCCGACAGGGCAAGTGGTGAAAAAAATTCTTGTAGCACCCTGTAAATGACGAAAATTTTCTAGTTTGGGCTATCAAATGCTCAAAAAAATTAATGTCTGGAATTATTTTGTCATTTGGAGTTGTTGTAGACCATGTTTGTTGATATTTGGTGCCTTTTCATGACTTTGAAATTAGTAATATTGGTCTAAGAGCAGAGGCAAAACATGCGGGCCGCCATCTTGGATTATAATGTAGGTATTTTTTTTTTTTTAATGACGAAAATTTTCAAGTTTTTGGCTATCAAATGCTTTAAAAAAATTCATGGCTGGGATTATTTTGTCATTTAGAGTTGTTGTAGACCATGTTTGTTGATATTTAGTGCCTTTTCATGACTTTGAAATTAATAATATTGGTCTAAGAACAGAGGCAAAACATGCGGGCCGCCATCTTGGATTATAATGTAGATGCATCCTAGCCATGAATTTTTTTTGAGCATTTAATAGCCAAAAACTTGAAAATTTTCGGCATAAAAAAAAAAAAAAAAAAAAAATTCTGCCAATTTTTTTCCCGATCATTTCAATTGATCGGCGATCGGAAATTTTTATCCGATCACCCCTGATCGGATCGGTATCGGCGGCCGATCCGATGATCGTTTACAGGGTTAACTTATAGCTACATGTACTTGCGCCCTTTATTATAGCAAACATGCATAATCGGTGACCATTGGTCCTCCATGGTCCCCTGTTTCTTATGTTAATTGAGAGCTAATTTGATGAGATAACCACCAGTCAGTAACCATGCAGGCAGGTCTAATCCTTCCTGGCCAAACTAGTGCACAGGTGCTTTAAATAATTTTTAGTCAGACTATGGTGCGCTTAGAGACACCTGTATTAAGCACCTAATAAATGTTGTGTATTATTATTATTATTTTAAGCCAGTTCGGGGATACAATCTGCACATTGGCAGATTTAGGTCATTCGTAGTCGTACACAGTTGTAGAATTCGCTGAGAGGAATACTGGATATGCGTGTTCCAACAAGAAAATATTGTCTTCATTATTCATGTATGCACTGATGGTTTATTTGATAAAAATGATACGTAAGGGATAGTACAGTCAAATCTCTCTATAGTGGCTATCGAAGTGAAACAGGATCAGGCTGACTCTGGCACCAAGTAACTGTTGTTGTTATTTGTTGGTTCTTTTTTATTTATTGGGTCAAATGTTTGTAATAAAATGTAGTAATTATTGTCATCTATTTTTTTTTTAATTTCAGTGACCCTGACGCATTGACTTCATTTCTTGACAAACAAGATGCATTTGGATTGGATAGTGCTGACTTGGAGGTATATATTTTGTTTTTAATACTAAATAGTAATACTACTACTATTGAAGATAAACTTGATTTCTGGTAAAAAAAATTAAAAAAAGATAATGGGTGGTATTCTCGAAAGCCGCCTAAGTTAAACCTGGCCTAAGTTAAACCATGGTTTAGTTAGGCCAGGCTTAACTTAGGCCGCTGACCTAAGTCATTTTCATTTCTCGAAAGGTGGCCTAACTGATCCATGGTTTAAACCTGGCCTAACTTAGTCCATGGATCATTCACCATGGTTACAGTTTCTGCACATGCTCAGTACCGAAGCTGCGACGACGAAGCAATGCACTAAGACAATGGATGCGCGCAGTGTGGAGAGGATGCATCACCTCGACAACTTGAGCAATATGACGTCACAATGCACTAAGACAATGGGCTAAGACAATGGATGCGCGCTGAGTGTGGAGAGGATGCATCACCTCGACAACTTGAGCAATATGACGTCCTGGGACGGCGGAGCGACTTCCAAAGCGGGGGGCAGCACCAACAAAAAGGGCTCTTGCTGGAATTGTATCATTGTTAAAAGGGAAATTATCAAAGATGAAAAGGGTCACATATCGCACCTGAAAAGGGGCATTGAACATATTTTAAAAGGGGCACTTATGAGAATGAAAAAGAGGCACTTATAATAAAGGAAATGTGCATTTGTTGAAATAAAAGGGGCACCGATAATTTTGTTAATAGGGGCACCTCTCACATTTAAATAGGGCAATAATCAGAGGTGAAGGGGCACTTCCCGAAAGTGAAAAGGGGCACTTATTGCAAAGGAAAATGAAAACTTGTCAAAGGAAAAGGGGCGCGTGTCAAAATTAAAGGGGCCCTTATCAGAGGTGAAAAGGGGAAGGGGCACTTTCCTATGGAAAAGGGGCACTTCTTACAAAGTTAAAAGGGAACTTTCCTATATAAAAAGGGGCATTTGAAAAAAGGGGCACTGTCACCCCCCCCCCCCCCAACTCTTTCTCCCTATCTCCATCTCTCTCTCTCTCTCTCACACACACACTATCTCACATCATTGTTTATTTCTCTCACCATTAAATTGTTCTTTCTCATTTGGTTCCCTTTCTCTTTTACTCTATCTCTCTCTCTCTCTCGTTCGCTCTCTGTTCTCCCACTGTTCTATTTCAAGACTTTTTCCATGTATAATTTAATGAACCCAACAATATGCACACTTAAAATCAAAAGATATGAAAGGAATATTGTATATAACATATCAACAATTATGTTCAATTTATTTATTTTTCTTATTACAGAAAATATTGTAATTCATGATGAATACGATTATAAAATTGAAGGTCAAAATCAAATATTAAGCTCCAATAGCCTCATAATCTGCTACTTGAAACTATTAGAATTAAATGTTATGTATTTGTTACATTACCTTCTCCCATTTTTTTAAAACAAAGCATAGTCTACTTTTGAGCCGTGTTTCTTTTGCAGGGAATCTGTTATATCATGACTTGCACTATATTATAAAACACATTATGAAACAAGATTTCTTAAATTAATCAAAATCACAATTTTTCCAGTGAAACAATGAACATCTGATGTACATAAAAATATCCTTATGAGTGATGGTTGCTTTGTGGTTCACACACACAACAAGGACATATCAGGCTTTATATCAATGGTTGCTTGTTTGTTACCATAGCTTCATGTTATGAGGATTATAATACAAAGGTTTTGATCCCCATGCAGTCACAGTTACAGCAGATGGAGTCTGGTTCATTGAAGAGGCTAAGTAGAACTTCATAGTCCTTGCAAGTATGTCTGTTGAATGAAAAGAGAAAAGAATGAAAGGAAGCACATTGAAACCTATTTCTGTTAAACCTTAAAAAGGTCTTGCATGTACATTGTGGTAAAAGTGGAGTGCATAATCAATTAAATGAAAGTATTGATGGACAAATGTGAATGAACAAATGCCATCCTTGAAGTACCTGGGAATACAAACAACAACTTATTCGTACAGCCTACCTGTCAGAAATTCAGCAGCTCAGTAGTTCTCCTTCCTCTCTCTGAATTTGTCTCAGTTATCAGGGAATTTGCCTTCATTTATTTTACTGAAGAAAAACATCATCCTGAAACAAAAATAAAAAGGTTTAGACCTCATTAAAATATCAAAGATCTACTCCATTGATAATTGTTCTTAGTTATAGTGTCAATCATATTCTAACTTTAAAAAAAAACTTAAGGCGCCTTTCATGTAGGCAGTGACTAGGCACCCCCTCCCCACTCAGTTACTAGTAATCATTGATTTACAGAATGACTACCGGTATCTCTTTTAAAGTCAAGAACAAACATACACATTCTTGCAGTACTATCTCATAAATATGCTTGCACCAAGTTTTACTTGCCATGTCATGGCCTAAGAAATCCCTAAGTAGTTAAAGTCTATAGCCAAGATAGTCCCTTTCCTAAAATTAAGTCTAGAGGTCTACATCTTACTTAGATAACCAGCTGACAGTTGGCCTAACCTAGATGTAAACGCAGCCTGGAATGGAGATTTTACAAGGCCCTAATCGTAAGAGCCCAACTTTTCCGTTTTAGTTCAATCTAACATTAGACCAATGATTGTCTTTGTTATGTTATCTCCCAAAATGAGCTTCGTGAAAGGGGAAAAAGTAAAATGAAAATTTAATGCACTGTACTGTACTGCAGTCTGTAGGTCTCTAAGTCTTATATGGTCCAGAATTGTTAGTGGTAGGTTTGAATTTTCTTCTGACCCAAATTTGAAAGTAGTTAATCAACTGTTGATTATTTGTGTCTTATTTTCAGATAGTTCGCCCAAAAGTCTCGGCCAAGCTGTCACTGTCAGGAGTGACTGGTAGCCATGACAATCGAGCTGAAAATATTAGCTCGTGCCCATGTCAAATGAATAAAAGTTTGAGTGTAGATTGCACCTACATTCATCAGACAAAACAATTTTAAATCACTTCATAATGTACCTGTAGACACATCTGCAGATTCATAAATTCAGCAGATCTTTTTTTTTAAATTGTATAAACATGATTTAGTTTACACAATTTAGGCGTAATTACAGCTTTACTCACCAGCAGACTTTCCAAGAAAAATGTAGTTTATATTTTTCCTGTTCAGGAAATAACTGGCGTTGGGCCAACTGGCTTGGAGATGCCTACGTGGGTGCAATCAATAGCACCGACCATATTAACGCCAGGGAAATGGCAGTAATTATAACATTCACGTTGGGTCTGCACTCTGCAGGACTGCCTCTCTTGTTGAAGGAATTGTGATGTATTGCTCCCATCTCCTGGCAATGGCTATTGAGATGGACTTCACAAGGCGGGACACCATAGCTTGGGAGAGGCCTTCTTTTTTCATCCCCATGCATCAATTGAAAAGAACCTGAAATAGCAGAAAATCAAGATGAAAAATATGTTGATATTTGATAAGAAATTACAATTTCTCTTTCTCTGTAGTTTACAAACAAGTATTATAAGCCTAAACTACTAGCTACTGTAACATCAGCAACTGTTTGTCAAAAAAGGAAGCTTCTGTCCATTTCCTTTCAATTGGTATTAGACCTGTCTAGACTAGACTCTTATTGATGAAATTTAGATCTAGAATCTAGGTCTAGTGATATTGTTTTTTTTTAAAGTTTTTCTTGGGGGGGGGGGGGGGATGGGTGGTTATAAAAATCATCATCATCCTGTAGAAAATTATCGCACCAACAGCCACAAATAGCGCTGCAGCTCAGGCAGAGGTGATACCAGACCGAAATGTTTCTCTCTTTCGTTCGTTAGCCTCTGATTTGGGTAGGGTCGGCTCCTGAAAGAGAGGAGCCGACCCTACCCAAATCAGAGGGTAACGAACGAAAGAGACAGCTAGATCTAGATTTAGGCCTAGTGCTAGTCCACTTTTAGGCAACAGCGTCTCGAAAATCCACTATAAAAGTAGTTTCTACGTCTAGCAATGATAGTTTTAGGGTGGTGTTAAGGTGGTATATGCGTACGAAAGGACAATAGTGCCAAGAAAAAGAATTACCCGGTAAGAAATTGCTCAATCTCAGGAAACGAAAATGTTAACCGACAATTATTTGCACGTATGGGACTGGTCTGCGAACACTGTGAACATTTACCAAGTTTCCTCCAAATTTATTCAGTTAAAAGCATTTTAGATTATCACCACTACAGCAACATGAAAGTAACAAAAATACTTTATTAGCTGGTGTAACTTTCATGAGCACTTATCCCATACAAAAGAGTGTAAATTGTTATCAAATATAGAAATTCAATGCAAAACTTACCGTTCACTCTCCGCGGACAGTCGATTAACTTAAAAAGTGACGTCACGCGAAGTTAGGCCGAACTATGACGTATTTAAACCTGCCCTCTGAGCAGCCTAAAGTTAGGCCGAACTATGACGTATTTAAGCCTGGCTTATCTTTAGGCCACCTTCGAGAATAGCAAAAAAGATAGTCCATGGTTTAAACCAGGTTTAGGCCACTGATTTAACTTAGGCCGCTTTCGAGAATACCACCCTATGTATTCTTACAGAATCAAACAAAACTTACACTGAATGCTCAAGATTACTAATAATGTCAGTTGCCAAACAATTTTGGTAGAAAATGTATCCTGGCTGAGTAATGAGCATAGAAAGATAAGGAAACCAAGGTTAGTAGCCCCGACACCATTTCTGTAGTCCCATATACATCTTTCTGTGTACTGTGCTTGTTACTTTACCAATACTTACATGTACATGCTAAATGATCAACTTTTTTCTGATCCATTCCACACCTTTTCTTTCACAATGCAATCGCATGACCAGAACTCAACTTAATCTTTAATTATAGTTGTAATGATGAGGATGATGATGACGATGACAATGATGATAATGATAATTATGTTAATGCAACACACATTTATCCCAGGAATGCTCAAAACACCTACAGAGTACATCCTGGAAACAGTCCTTACTAAGTACCCATTTACCACAAATGGATGAAGAATGACAAATGTAGAATGTCTTGCCAAAAGACAAAAGTGCAGCGGCAAGACTTGCGGAACGATTATGTGATCCACGATGTGTGGATCACAGAGAATTTTGAGCTATACCTGTAGAAGAATTATTTTGTCGTGTTAAAAGAAAATTTGTTCTACATTATGTTCCCATTAATTGTTCAATTCTTGCATCTTTATATCAGGAAAGGAAGTCATAATTCTTTTCCTTTTTTTCTTTTTTCCACCATTAGACCCTATTGCATTCAAATTCAGTTATCAATTTAATAGTTGATGTAATGTGAACACTAAGGCTCGAAGTCACAAAGGAGGTTTAAACCCTCATTTTCATAACCCATGGTCTAAAATTAGCGCAAAATGATTGTGGACATCTGACTGTTTCGCGCTTATTTTGCGCTAATTTTAGACCCTGGGTATGTAAATGACGGTTTAAACCATGGGTTGAATTAAAACCTCCTTTGTAAAATTGGGCCTAAGCAATCTGCTCCCATAGCTATCAGTTGTTCTAAATATGGACTTTGTTCTGTCTTTCTATGATACACAGGAGTTCTCCCGGTACCAGCAGCAGACTCTTCTCACCCATAGCCAGTATGCCACCGGACCCAACCCTAGCGCCACCTCCATGTCCCATCATGAGACCCCATCCTCTGTTCTGATGCGCCTTGAGAACATCTCGCCCCCACCGATCCAAAATGACACTGTCCTCTCCCTCCTGGGTGATCGACCTTTCACCCCGACCAGCCACAAACCTCAAACCAGCCAGAACCAGGCCGCCTCCAGGCCGATCATCGACCTTGGGTTCGGTGAGCAAGAAGGGGGAGAGATCAAGGAGATATTCCCGGACTTCATGATGGGCACTGGTCAGACACAGGGTAGCAACAACCAGGCTTTTTCCGCAGGAGATGACCTGTTTGGGAAGTTGGGAGTTAAGGAGGGTGTGGAAGGATCCGTCCAGAGTGCCGCAGGGAAAGATGACTTCTCGAGCATCTTTTCATTTGAGGACGAAGTTGACAAGTTGCAGCATGCCATCCCGCCCAGCTCGGTCAGTTCGCGTAACGTCCAGGATGTGATTCAACAGAGTCTGATGCTGTCTGGAGTAGGAGAACTTTCAGATGATGTTCCTAATCAACAAGTAGAAGTTTCTCAGGCTGGAGCTGTCAAAGGATCTGTAACTGCACGTACTGTACAGAGCTTGGGAGGAAAGATACAAAGTGTCCAGCCCACACCCAGTGTCCCGCAGAGTAATGCAGCGCCCTCAAATGTCATGGTCCAGGGAGGGGCTGTGCAAGGTAGTAACGTCACAGACCATCAAAAGCTGACAACCAAAAGCATTCCTCAAGTGGCAGTTGTAAGGCCACAAACACAACCTCAACCACAGCCCCAGACACAAGTCCTCTCAACTCAGCCTGTCATTGATGCTCAGGGGCAGGTCATCAACTCCCAGTTCCTCCAAGCACCTGGAAAGGTAATTGTTGGTGGACAGCAGACTGTCATGCCCATGCAGCAGACATATGTCCTCAACACAAAGACTCCCTTGAACATACATCCCAAGCTGGGAATGGGTGCTCCAGCCGTGTCTAAAGCACCACCTCCCCAACAAGGACTTAGAATCATGCTGGCGCCACAAGCTGGTGGAAATATTCAAACAATAGGGGGCGCTCCAGCTGGACAGACTATCCAGTTGAACCACGGACAGGCCAGTGCGACAGGACAGCAGACTGTTGTTTTACACAATATGCAAGGGGCTGTACAAAGCCAAGTTCAACCCTCTGCTGCGTCATCTGTTCCTGTCCTCCAGCCTGTCATCACGATAGGTGCCACTCAAGGAAGCTTCATATTCATGACAAGACCAACGACAGTTCTTGCCCCTCAACAGATTCAGCAACTCCAAACAAGTGGTTCAGGCCTTGCCACCATTCAGATGCCTGGGCAGGCCATAGGGTCGGTCGTTCAGCCAGGTACGATTACTGTCAATCAACAACAGGGAGGGAAACAAGCTTTACCAGTAATGCAGTTTTTGCAGTCTGGTGTTTCGGGTGGAAAGGCCTACCAAACAATAACATTGCCTCAAGGTTATGTTACAGGTGGTCAAACTATTGTGATCCAGAATCCGCAAGGTGCATCAAATGTCCTTCCAATTGCACAGAGCCAAGCCAGGATAGTTCAATCTGGAACCAATCAAGTAAGCTTTGTGCAGAGCCAACAGCCAGGAACCTACGGTAAGGTCCAAGCAACTCCACAGCTCATTCAGCCAAAGGTAGTTAGTTCAGCACAGGCACAAACCAAAGTAGCGACCGTCTCATCGCAGTCTGTGGCAGCTTCCACTGCATATCGCACCAAAGATATTACATATGCTGCTCCTCCATCAAAGGCAGATCTTGTGTCATATTACCAACCAACCAGCCAAATAGTAAATACTCCATCTGTAACACTCTCAAGCAGTATTGGTAGTCAGAATGTATCCAATCCAATTCAACCATATGTACAATCAGTAACGGCCGCTAAGAATGAAGTGCACTTGATCAAGTCGGAACCTTTTCCTTCATCCAAGCCTAAACCAGTTGAAACATTCCGACATAAACTCTATGGAAAGATATCCACAGTACAGGCAGACTCTAAGCAGACTTCACAATCTGAACTTCAGTCAAGTCAAGCACAGATGGCTGCCATTTCTCTTGCAAACCAAACCTCAGGCCCATTACAAACGATACTCCAAAAAGTACAGCCTCATGACGCAAGGGCCGACCAGACTTCGTCTGCTCATCTCAGGCAGGCACTGAGCAGCACAGCAGATCTGAGGACCCAGTCTCAGCCAATCTTCATTCAGCAGAACTCTCCTCCTGCAAACACCATTGTCACACCAAGTAATGTCAATACGAAACGCTTGCCAAGTCAGACTCAAACCTTGCCAGGAAATAATGGTAGTGTACCTGCCTTAGTTCAGCACCCTCAACTCACCCAACAGAACTTCCAGGATTCTGTATCCTCTGCAGCTGTTTCTGTCCAGTCAACCTCAGTTTTGAGTACAACCTCAAATACGAGCAGTTTACCTACCAAGAAGACGCAACTGAAGAAGCAAAACATGTTCGGGGCACGACCAGTGGCTCCAGTCAGCAACCGGAACTTTCAACAGGAGTTCTTGAAGACATTTCAAGGAAAGGCTGGTCATGTAGTCGCAAGCAGTACCTCTACATCTACAACAACATCTACCAGCAGCATTCTTACCGCAAGCTTAGCCTCCTCGACGGCTGCTTCCCTACCTAACCAAGGCGGAAATCTTAATGAATTTACCTCGGGTTCCCATATGCTCGGGAGTAATACAAATGTGACGGCAAGTTTAGAAAATGTCATAAGCAGTAGTGGAATGATGAGCGCTGGAGGAGTATCTTCCACTCCTGGTCTTATAAGTGCATTGGAACTCAAAGCTAAGCAGATGCAGGAATCGGGTATGAAGAGTCTCGCTCATAACCAACAGCAGCCCATGGTTAGTGCTTTGCAGTTGATAAACCCTCAAGGTACATCTTTCAACCAGCAGCCGATTCGACAGAATGCACCCATGATGAGCGCACTTCATCTCAAGAATCCTGGTCAATTTCAGGGACAGAGCATGAATGTTGCAGGTGCTGCTAAAACGCAGCCTATGATCAGTGCCCTAGAAGTTCAACAACAAATGCAACGTCAAGGTCAAGGTATGAACGTTGCGCAACAGCCAGGCACTCAGAACAGACCAATGGTCAGTGCTCTGCAGTTACAGCAATTGAAGAGACAGATGGCTGCTGCAAATCCTGGAGTTGACACTACGGCACTGATGAACCAACTCTTGCAACTTCAACAGAGGAAAAATTTAGGGCAGCTGGGGGCCAATCAAGCACAAGCCAGTCAAATGCAAGCTCAGGCAATTGCGAACCAGAGCCAAATATCTCATCCACCAAGTGCTGGACAACCTTTGCCAATTCCACAGGGAATCTCCAGACCACCAAGCATTGGTCAGCCACTACCAAGCCCTCAATCCAATCAAAGCCATCGCCCTCCTAGTGTACCTCTGCCGAGTCCACAGGGGATGTCGTCTCATCGCCCTCCTAGTGTACCTATGCCGAGTCCACAAGGGGTTGCGTCTCATCGCCCTCCTAGTGTACCAATGCCGAGTCCACAAGGGGTTGCGTCTCATCGCCCTCCTAGTGTACCTATGCCGAGTCCACAAGGGATGCTGTCTCATCAGCCTCCTAGTGTACCTATGCCGAGTCCACAAGGGATGTCGTCTCATCGCCCTCTGAGTGTACCTATTCCGAGTCCACAAGGGATATCATCTCATCGCCCTCCTAGTGTACCTATGCCAAGTCCACAAGGGATGCCTTCTCATCGCCCTCCTAGTGTACCTATGTCGAGTCCGCAAGGGATGTTGTCTCATGGGCCTCCTAGTGTGCCTCTGCCGAGTCCACAAGGGATCGCGTCTCATCGCCCTCCTAGTGTACCTCTGCCGAGTCCACAAGGAATGCCAACTCATCGCCCACCAAGTGCAGGGCAGTCCATACAGAGTCCTCAAGCCATGCAGCCACATCGCCCTTCAAGCGCTGGTCAACCATTACCCAGCCCTCAGGGCAGACAGATGTCACGTCCACCTAGCGTCGGTCATCCTTCACCAAGCCCACAAGGTCAGCAGTTA